GTTGGTTTTTATTGTGTGGATTGGTTGTATGTTTTGTGGGTTGGTTGTATGTTGTGTGGGTTTGTTGTATGTTGTGTGGGTTTGTTGTATGTTGCGTGGGCTGGTTGCATGTTGTTTGGGTTGGTTGTCTGTTGTGTGAGTTGGTTGTGTGCTGTGTGGGTTGATTGTATGTTGTGTAGGGTGGTGGTATGTTGTGTGGGTTGTCTGTGTTCTGTGTGGCTGATAGATGTTTCCATAGCCAGTTGCTTTGTATGGTACCGGTGCTGCTGCTACTGTGTTATGATTGTTTCTTGTATCCCGTTGTTCTCCAAGGTATCTAGTGCGGTTGCTACGGCGGGAGTGGTAAGTGTTCTAGTAGAGTGCCAGTGGTAGTTGTTTGTGACGATAGTAGAGTGCCAGTGGGAGTTGTTTGTGACGATGGAGGTGTGCGTAGAGAAGATTAAGAGGCTATGGACACTCACACGTAGGGTGTATGTTCTGTATAGTGTGTGTGATTGGGTGTGACCCCGAGTTGATACAGAAGTGATCTCCGGGCTTGCATAGTGTAGTTGCGCATATCTCCATATCAGGTGGTATCACAAATATCTGCAATTCCTGATTATTTCGTTCGTGATCCTGGTCACTGGCACATAGAGGCAATGGCGCAGCCACAACACACTCGGAGAGAAAGGACAGGGCACTATTCCCCGGATGCGTAGAAGTATTTTCAGATATCCATGAGCTCGCTTACTTGTCACAGACAGTGGACCACCCCAACAGTAACACGCATGCCTCGGAGAACACTTGTCACGGCTGTGAGTGTACAGTTTCATATGTTACATATAGGCACGCCACAGCAGCGGCGTCTGAGGATGCTTCCTTTGAGTACGCTATTGTACCCATACCGTTAACGGCTTTCTATCTCACAACGCGATCCACGGCGGAAGTAGAAATTGTCTTTTCTGCGAACAGTTTATATACCCAAATACATTCGCAACACGTGACCGTATTTATTGAGACGTCCTAAGTGTACGTGTATATATCACCCGAAATATATCTGCAACATGACCCGATCGCTCGACCCAACTTACACCGCAGTCACGGGCACTCACGGGGTAGACTCAGCCACAGCACTGTCCGCATTCGTCTCCCCACATACAAGAGCATTATACGCACAGGTTACGATACCAGGCATTCTCTTATATATATATATATATATATATATGTATATCGCTTGTCTGCTCATCCCTGTCTATACATTTACTCACAACAGAAGATAACAGCGACAGCAGCGCGTATTTGCTAACCGAGGACATTGGCGCCTCTCATACTCCGGTCACTGGTGCGCGTGGCACCAACACGACCACGGCACAATCGGAGATCGAGATAAACCAAGGGTTGGGACACATAGAGGCGGGTTTCTTGGAGTACTGGCGAGCAGTGGTTGCCATAGGAACGGCGTCGTGGGAGCGCTGGTTGGACTGTGACCGGCTGGCGATGACGCTGATACCGGATCACACACCGAATGTGGATAGGTAGGTCGATGTGTTCTATTTATAGATTTGAGTAGATATTCGGGATTTATCTTGTATTTAATGTAGAGGAATCGGTGGTCAATTGACTGGTCAGTCACACCTGGATGGTTGCCAGATTTGGAGAAGGGGGCACAAAATTCGGTTTCTAGATCGTTCTTACCCGGTCCATAGGGTTCTATCATGCCCTCACACGGACCCAAAGCACTGTAGTGCACTGTAGTGCATTGTACCAAGCAGCTCTTACGCACCCCAACTCGTTTTAACACGCACGTACAAGCGGATAGCAGCGGTAGGATACAGGTGTCTACAGAGTTATGATGCATCCATGGTACGGATCACGTTGATGGGTTGTCTATAAATAGATCGCATGTGCCAACCCACTGTGCCTCTCTCATTGTTTTACCCTACAGGTCTTATGTGCACAAACTGAATCTCAAGCTCACCTACAAAACGGCCACGGCTGTGGTGACCACAGTGGCGACTGAATGGGCGTCCATGGTGCTGATAGAGGGCCACACCTATGTACGGTTCATTGATATCGAGGCTATGACACGCGACGCAACATGCCAAAGGGAGAAGGATGAAGACATTGCATTGGTACGTACTTGTGGTTGTATGAGGGGTTTGTAAGTGTGTAAAACGGAAGTATTATATA